CAACCTTAGTACTGGTTACTGTTTACATGTAAGTCGGGAGTAATTTCTTTAACCTAAGTCTGTACTGTGTATAGCAGCCATGAAAGTTAGTTTCTGTGAGCTTTGCGGAGGCGAGATTTTTCACGACTCCTGAAGACTGTCGGTGGGAACGCCTGCGCGTCACCTTCGCGTCACCTTTACATCAATCACTCCATGAAAAGCTCTTTAGAGAATTCCAAATGTGGCATCAACGACCAGTAGGGGGTCCGCCGGCGGCACAGCGGGTTGTCGGGTTTGGATCGCGAGGCCGTTCGGAGCTAGCTGATGCTCTGCGTGCCCACGCACAGGTGCGCTGTTGATCGCGGGTGCGTTGACCTGTGGTTACGAGAACCTTCTCCAGGCATCCAATGCAATTCATGGTGACAGCAACTGGATTTTCAATTTGAATTAAATTCCTGGTCCTTCTTTTAATGTAGTAAACAGAATCAATTCTATACCAAAGCGCACTGATATCAATAAGGCAAAAATGCGATGTCGCCACTTGTTTTGTATTAGTAGGCTGGTTTAAGCTACATATGGGCAGTTTCTAGTACATTTCCAAATGAAACGTATTCTTTTTTTCACTGCATCCATTGTTCGACACTTGAAAAGACATCCTCTTCTTTATAAGAAGCCTGCAGTAGTAGTCTTCCTTTTGACTAAATAAGGAAACGATCTGTTTATTTACGATATTTAATTGCTTGAATCGGATTCGGTTTGATCCGGATCGAAGCAAATCTATTCGGCTCGATCCGGACAATTCCATCCTACGTCGATGAAGGTTAGACATCCAGGTAATACGATACGCCAAAAAGCAGCTACTCAAGCAAATGAACATGATTTTGGAAGCGGTCAATTTGTCCGGATCGAGCCGAATAGGAAATGGAAACGGTCATGACCGTGTCCAAAATCATATTCAGTTGCTTGAATAGCTGTTTTTTGGCGTAATTCTACCCTAGGTAGCGAGAAAATGAAAGGGCCTTGATAATTATATATGTGAAGGAAACTGACGGTCGCGACTTGTTTTGACGTCAAAACCCAGCAGGACCCGAACAAATGTTCCGGAGGCTCGCTGCGTATTTTAACGATGTTGTTAGTAAAGTACACGTGTAATCACGTACATTTGAGGAACCTATTGTCAAAAACAATCTTATGGTGTATCTTTCATAAACGTTTCAATCAAATTTTCCCGCTGTGTAATTTATTGGATATCGTATCAACAACGTGTGTATAATTTTCAAATGTCTGGAATTGAAGATGAGCTTTAGATTACAAGAAAATTTTTTTGTAACATGCCCGATGTTGTGCTACACAAATTTCCTCAGTAAGTCGGAGTGACGCCCACCGGACCTTTCAGCTAATCGTTGATACTGTGTCCAAACACTGATGAGAATTTATGTATCTGTATAGCCGGTATAACCGCCCTTCGGCGTAACACACCGGCGTAGCAGGCACGCGGCGCGGCGGCAGCTGGCTATATTACACCGAACGACTTGTTACACACAATCTTTTCACATTTAATTGCAGGAGTTGTTAAAAGCTTTCTAGTGATGGTGTGCCTGGCAACGAACCAACTCTACGAACAATCCACTCTACGAACCAATTAGCCAAGATCTGCACATTTGCCACCAAGAACAGTACAATTTTAAAGTGTTTCTTATGAGGATGGCGCCACCACACGACATTCGTAATATGAAAAGTGGCATTTTCAGTTACCGGTGTAAAATTGCAACAAATTGGCAAGTTCCGGGGGGATGTGGTTATCGTCAGTTCAAATACATGTAGCGATGTCACTAAATTTTCCTCGGTCTCAGTTGTCGAAAATTGATTTTGATATAAACACCATTAGGCTGGTTTTCAATCCGATCTTCTTAACATTGTGTGGAAATAACTAAGGACATAAAGGCAGACACAAATAGACACTGAAAAAAAAACCCGAACACGGTGGTAAAATTCCAAGAAGTATGACATTTCAAACTCAACAAATATAAGATTTTCTCTTGGGTCCACAATAATCCAGCGAATTTTGATAACTGTCATTGAGAATCCGTAGTCCGTACGCTGAATGGATGATGCGAGAATACGGCTGCATTCTTTGAATGAGGAATCAGTGCAGAGCTCCCAAAAGATGCAATCTCAGTACTCGCACACAATTATGTCTAGACGTCTAAAAATAAGAAACCACGCCGCTTCCAATATCCTTAGAATTCATATCTACTCGTACTTCTGCAGGTTTACCATTGAGTCGGCTATCATATAGATTGAGTAGAAGCTGTCGTATGCAGAGCACGTCTGAAACACTATTGTCACATAGGAAAAAAAAACATCTATTGAAAGTTTGACGTGTGTGTTTTTAGTACTTAGCCACAGAATGTTGGATTTTATCAACGTTGTATTTTCAGCTCGGAGCTTGTCTACCAACTGTGGACGGGGATGTTTCATTCAGCCGACGTAACGACAGTAGGCTTTTGTCTGTTTCTGTGAAGGCAATGGCGCCAGTAAAATCAAATGACGAGTTAGGATCTAGAATTTGTAAGGAAACCGGCTGTTGGTGTGGTGTAAATATGTTTTCAATCTTACCAACGACAGAAAGGAGGAGGGAGATGGATGGACAGTAAAGAGAGAGATAGGGATAGAGATGAGCGGTGACAGCAGAGATGCGAAAAAGGGTGTATCAACAGACTTTTCAAATCTTAATTCATAATCTTTTCTTTGCAACCTTGAAATATGGACTTGGGCTTCAAACATTTTGTATTTTAATACGCTTGAACTCTAAACAAACAACTACGTTATTCTGTATAGATCTGTATCTGTATAGCCGGTATAATCGAGCTTCGGCATAACATACCAGCTTTGCAGGCACACGGCACGGCGGCAGCTGGCTATATTACACGGAACGACTTGTTATACCTAACCCTTGAACATCTAACTCTAAACATTGTTTGAAGCTATCTAATGATAATGCCCCTACCGCACTTGGTGACAGCGAGTTCCACTAGTTCTAGGAAAGAATGAAGTTTTGAACAGGTCAATTCTTGGTTGATAACTCTGGTACTTGAAGGCACGGCTATTTCTTGTTCTTTTCTGGGCTGTTATTAGGTACTTGGTAGTTGGAACGTCCACTAGGTTATTAGTCATTTTGTAGTCATTTTGTACTTTATGCATAGTCTGGGCATTGTTTGGTTATTGTTTATTGCAGGAGTTTGACGTGTCCGTCGTCATGCCGGTGTTGTACGGGCTGATCTGCGCGCTTGGCCTTGTGGGTAACGGCATCGTGCTGTACGTCATGGCGCGTCACTCCAAACTGCGGAGTCCTGCAGACATCTTCATCTTCAACCTGGCGCTGGCAGACGTGCTCTTCATGCTGGGGATGCCCTTCCAGGTACGGGGGTTATGAATGAATGACGGTACGGGGGTAATGAAAGTATTTTAAGTACGGGGGTAATGAAAGTATTTTACTTAACCTCTTGTAAATGTCAAAGAATGAGATTTTATTTTGTATTGTACCGATTTTACGAGGCTCTCCAAAGATGGAGGAAATAAAGAGATGAAATGAATGAATGAATGAATGAAGACCTTTATTGTACATTTTTGCCCCACTGGGCTAAGCACAGGTCACATGATTACAACCATATACAAATACAAATTGAATACACATACATATAACTGTTACATGCATATATAAACGTCTAATGTATACTAGTCTTTTCAACTTCCTCTCGCTTCTTAGTAATTGTATAAAATGAGGCTGTTTTGTGTGGGTTACCATAGTTACCATAATGAATTATGCATTGCACTCCAAACATTTTACGGAGGTTTGAGATCGTCGATTTCTTGTTTAATATCAGAGAGGATGCAGCTAGAGACTAATGTAATTAGTTGACATTTCAAACCGCGATGCTATCTTAAAAACCGCGCTTACGGCAAGAGGAAGATGTTCTAGATACATGACAATAACCCTGTACGTAAATGACTCCAAGAGGATTGTTTTGAAACCAGTTCAGATGCTATCTTGCCAAGATAGCTCTTCCTATCTAAATCGAATCCGTCTATTAAATCTAGGCACGCATTTATGTGGTAGGGTCTACAAAAATGTACACCATAAATATTCAATAAACAGAAACTAGTTAAGACCATAATCCACAGGGCCTAGCATTCCTCATATACACAGATCCAGCTATGCACCATACATGTTAGAAATACATTAATGTGCACGTAGGTTTGCCCTTTAGGATTCTAAAGCTTACAGGATGAATAAAAATGAGCCCACAAAGACGTAAATACCAGCTAGGTCACGAAATTGCAATGAGTTGATAATGTTTAGGCAATAAGGTTTGTTTACTACGCGGATGACGCCAAATGCTGTCGCGGTTGTTGATCGATTACTATGTTCTTCAAGGCTATGTATATAATGAAAAATGCAGCTTGTTTTTTTTTTAATACACTGAAAAATACTTTTGCGTTACCGTTTATTAGTGAGCACTTTGCAGAAAGCACTGCGACTGCACAACCCGGATTTAAAACGGTTTTCGTTGGGTGTTTGGTCAACGTTGCCTCAGAATTTTGCCCGTTGCAGACGATATTTCTTTGGGCTGCAACTCCAACTGCTTATTTAGTGGATGTTAGAGTTACTGTATATATAAAGTAAAATACATAACATTTCGGCAGTCCTTTTGCTGAATTCTTCAGGTCAATGATTTCTGTTTCTACTTCTCGCCACTAGGTGGCGCTGCGAAGAGATGTATATTCAGTCCGAAATGTGACTGATTTTGTATCCTCCTTCATCCCACTTCATGAAAATTTTCATGTTTAGCTGGAATAGACTACATGTAGCTAATGCAGTCCAGTATGCTATTGTCATTCATACAGTTTTCGTCTGAGGAGTGGGCGTATGGAGTAAGATCGTCATGGCCCTGGATTCACACGGTGTTTGTTTGTTTATTTGTTTGTTTAGATCCACCAGTTTGCGTCTGAGGAGTGGGCGTATGGAGCGGTCATGTGTAAGATCGTCATGGCCATGGATTCACACAGTGTTTCCTTGTTTGTTTGTTTGTTTGTTTATTTGTTTGTTTGTTTGTTTAGATCCACCAGTTTGCGTCTGAGGAGTGGGCGTATGGAGCGGTCATGTGTAAGATCGTCATGGCCATGGATTCACACAGTGTTTCCTTGTTTGTTTGTTTGTTTGTTTGTTTGTTTATTTGTTTGTTTGTTTAGATCCACCAATTTGCGTCTGAAGAGTGGGCGTATGGATCAGTCATGTGTAAGATCGTCATGGCCCTGGATTCACACAGTGTTTGTTTATTTGTTTGTTTATTTGTTTGTTTAGATCCACCAGTTTGCGTCTGAAGAGTGGGCGTATGGATCAGTCATGTGTAAGATCGTCATGGCCCTGGATTCACACAGTGTTTGTTTGTTTGTTTGTTTATTTGTTTGTTTAGATCCACCAGTTTGCGTCTGAGGAGTGGGCGTATGGAGCAGTGATGTGTAAGATCGTCATGGTCCTGGATTCACACTGTGTTTGTTTGTTTGTTTATTTGTTTGTTTAGATCCACCAGTTTGCGTCTGAGGAGTGGGCGTATGGAGCAGTAATGTGTAAGATCGTCATGGCCATGGATTCACACAGTGTTTGTTTGTTTGTTTGTTTATTTGTTTGTTTAGATCCACCAGTTTGCCTCTGAGGAGTGGGCGTATGGAGCAGTCATGTGCAAGATCGTCATGGCCATGGATTCACACAGTGTTTGTTTGTTTATTTATTTATTTGTTTGTTTGTTTGTTTAGATCCACCAGTTTGCCTCTGAGGAGTAGGCGTATGGAGCAGTCATGTGCAAGATCGTCATGGCCATGGATTCACACGGTGTTTGTTTGTTTAGATCCACCAGTTTGCGTCTGAGGGGTGGGCGTATGGAGCAGTCATGTGTAAGATCGTAATGGCCATGGATTCACACTGTGTTTGTTTGTTAATTTATTTGTTTGTTTGTTTAGATCCACCAGTTCGCGTCTGAGGAGTGGGCGTATGGAGCAGTCATGTGTAAGATCGTCATGGCTCTGGACGCGCAGAATCAGTTCACCTCCACCTACGTCATGACCGTCACGGCCATCGACCGCTACCTGGCTGTCAATCATCCCATGCGTTGCCTGGGTTACCGGACACGTTTTGCAGCAGTTATCGTGAACGTGGGTACCTGGGTGGCGTCTGGTTTGTCCATACTGCCGGTGTGGATATACGCCTCCCAGGTCCAGTATCGGGATGGGACCAACGTCTGCATTCTCAAGGTCTAACTAACTATTATGTATTTATGTTTAGAGTTAAAACTTTAGATCCAACACATAAAGTTTTCTCACCTGGAGCTTTCGACCAGTCACTCTGGTCGTCCTCAGTAGACTGACTCAGTGAGGCTTGTGTCTTGGCTTCTTTAAAGTGTAACGTCAACACTGGGTCCCGTGACAAGCCTCACTGGGTCAGCCTACTGAGGAAGACCAGAGTGACTGGTCGAAAGCTCTAGGTGAGAGAACTTTTTGTGTTGGATCTAAATTTTTAACTCTAAACATGTCACTACCAACACAGATGGACTGCCATGATAGTATTACTTATTATCTTGGCAATAAGTACAGATTTTGTGATAGCCTGTAATGATTTTCTTATTGCTTATGGGCCTACCACTGTTGAACTCGCCGCCATGCATATTTCCCGTCTGACACACACATATACAACGCGCGTGGACAAACACTTTGTTTAGCAACCTTGACAGCGACTGAGATTTCCCTGATTTCTCCCTACAGTTGCCCAACCCTGACGGCATCTACAACTTCACCATCTACCACTTCTGCCTGGGTTTCCTGGTGCCGCTGGTCGTCACCACGGCCTGCTGTCTCCTCATGATCCACCGGCTCAGCAACACAGTAGCGCCCTCTGGCCAACAGCACCCGCATCACAACCTGCACAAGTCCACCAAGCGCCTGCTGGTGTGCATCGTGCTGGTGTTCACCGCCTGCTGGCTGCCCTTCCACGTGGTCCAGCTGGTCAACCTGACCATGACCGGCCCGCCGTCATACAGCTTCATCGTGGGATACTTCTTCAGCATGTGTATGGGGTGAGTGGCTATTTATTTACTCGGTAATTCATTCATTCATTCGTTCCCACGCTAACACATTTCCTTTCATTCGTTCACTCTCACTCACTCACTCACTCACTCACTCACTCACTCACTCACTCACTCACTCACTCACTCACTCACTCACTCACTCACTCACTCACTCACTCACTCACTCACTCACTCACTCACACAATTTTATTTATTTATGATGATACATGTATATCCTTTTCTGCTTTTTCCATCCACAGATACGCCAACAGCTGCTTCAACCCGCTCCTGTACGCCTTCGTGGGGAAGAACTTCCGGAAACACTGGCGGAAGGCGCTCCCGCGGGGCCTGACGGGACGGCACCAGCGGCGAGTGGCCCCTGGCGGCCACAGCCGGCAGCGCAGCGGCAGGAACAACACCGACGACATCGACAACACCAGTCACCGGCCAGGGTCAGCCTACCAGGCGGCCGTCTGGCCGAGCGGGGCCGGAGAACCGACCCCGTCAGGCTCGTCGGCCATCGACCTGCGAGAAAACACCGCGGGGGGAGCGATGGAGGCCGCCGGTCCGAGCAACCAGCTGTCCGTGGCGGAGTCGAGCCTGACATCGCGGGCACTGTTCCTGAGAAAACCCGTCACGGAGATGCAGTTGTAGAATCTTGAAGAGATTGAGGAGTATATAAGACGCATGTACGTCTTCAATTAATATGATCAGGCTCCCCAAAATAAGAAATTTGACATATATTTTTACCTTTCCAAAGTGTCCAAACGCTTGTCCTTAATGTCGCTGTTTCATTGAATTAACTGGCTGCAGAAATAAAACAACCACAACAACAACAACAACAACAAAATAAAAAATAATAAAAAAATTAAAATAAAATAAAATATGTATTAACACCAAAAATTTTAAGAAAGTATGATTTGCAAGACGCGATGTGCATTAACATCAGAAGAATGTATTTTTTGTCCAAACGTATTTGTTCATTGAAAAACGCCTGTGTGTTTGACGTCGACTGTTTTCAAGAACTTTTGTATTGTCATTGGTGTCATGTCTTCTTTAAATATTTCATAAAAGACAAGATTTCTGACATATGCGGATAGCATGTAGCAGTAAAATCACGCCACCTGGCGAAAGGTTGCTGAGGTGTATCAGGACAGATGTACATGTATTTACCAGCTTTTGCCTTGATAAATTCGATGTGCTTTCCTACATATGTATTTTATTGACGATGTCATTATCATGTCAGATACTTAACATCCTTGCTGATAATGTAACCAGGATATATAGACATTGTGTAGTTGAGTGTTTTCTTCAGATTGTCTATCAAGAGATCTGTTTTTCTCTCAAAAATGTTGTAAGGTGTGTGGATTACGTATTACAGTGCAATATAACAACGGGCGCTTGGAGGCGCTTAAATATCTTGTTTGAAGCAATAGTGCCAGACTAACGAAAAACAATGGTGAAGAATCTATTAGTGTTTGTTATATTGTACTCATCCTTTCATTTAAATAAAGATACATATTTCGGACAATCAGAAGTTTCATAAATAATCTTTATTCCGATTAATAGTTATACAAATATCTAGCACTGTTCAACTTCACATAATATATAGTCAACATAAGAAATCGGAAATTTCAGACCAGATGATAAGTGTTTTAGGCTTTCGTAAATGTATTGAAATTGTGGAGGGAACTGCCTGACGTAATCAGGTTTTACACCCAGTTAATTACTTCCTGAATTCCCCCACGTACCGACCTCTTATTCCCACCAAGGGCGTGCTGGGCCACCTTTAGGATTGACCACCCTGTCAATCAACAGTAACCATGAAATCCCCCCAAAACTGTGCCTTCAAACCGCCTTATCATATACACAAACCCACAGAATTACCCAACCAAAACAATACCTCCGTATCCGGAGTCAAATATCTAATACAGAAGCTATTCACTTAATACAATTTTATCATGATACACATTGGCATACTTGAAAAACAATTTTAGCGACGTCTAAAATATCGTAAGCCCATTGTTCAAACACAACTCCAAACACAACTGAAGTCTCGGTAACTAATAAAGAAGTACAACAAATAAGCGAGCAATCTTTCAAAACAAAGTACAAGAATTGTACGAAGCAAACACTATATCTTTTCAATACTAAAACCTTTAATAAATCCTATACACTTTAGACCTCAAACCTTAACCTTAAGAATACAGCATTCACAATAATAGAAATACAATTTGACTTAAATATCATAGTAAATGTACGACATACCAACGAACGAGTACTGAGCATTTTTTTCTTCACAAATAAAGCAGAATAAAACACATAAAACACAATGGCAATGTATATATACGTATACACGAGCAAAAACAATAAAACAATTCTGTATTGGATGCAAGTATAGACACCAGCGCGTTTTACGCAATATTTGTAGTTACGGTTCATAGTTTTTAATGCACTACTTGTATCGCCTACAAAATGTTAAACATGCCCGTTGGGAGTTTGAATCTCAGTCTTTGAAGCCCACGGAATTGGACACATATGGCGACTTACGAAACCACTTACCACCTGGCCCCAGGGTGTACCATAATGACATTATATGCTTCGCGCGCCTTTCGTGAAAAATCATTTTACATTTCCACTTTGATCTACTCTTTTGAAATATACAATAGATAAAACGAGCTCACTGACAACCCCAAAACAACACCTTTTTGACTGTTTATCTGAGAAAACTACTCCAACCACTATAAAACTGAATTGACTATAAACCCTAAATATGTTATCTACTGCGTGAGTAAAATCTATAAAGGCAACCCAGAAAATGGCCTTTGAAATTTCAAGTCCTTATTAGCGGACGTCGACGTCAGTACAGCCCTGACTATAGACGTCACAAAACCTTTAGATATAGGATACTCCTGTTTCAAAAACAACATCAAAGCAAGTAGATGCTTTTACAGGTTTGTATAAGAAGCGCATTAGGTGCCAATGTTCGCTCAACACTACTTGAAAGAACCATAGATAGAATATGCCATGTTTTAAGTTAAAAAGGGGATCGATATATGCAACAGGTCAATGAGCTTGCAAGGCATTAAGGGCAAGGCCGTCTTAGTTTTACAGTAGATGCATTTAAAATTAAAAAGCCATAAAAATGTAGTTTAGACAGGGTCTTTATCTGTATCGGTATAGCCGGTATAACCGCCCCTCGGCGTAACACACCAGCTTCACAGACACGCGGCGCGGCGGCAGCTAGCTATATTCAGAGAGCTAGAAGTTCAAAATGTCCCTCTTCTGATATGCATTTTGGAAGAAAGATACCTTTTTAGTTTGAAAGATTGTCACAAATGTGTAAATTTATGGGTTTTGATGGTGTATGTGGACTGAGTCACGTTTGGGATTTTGTTGTCACAACTCCATCATGCGACGAGGAGCGGCAATGTTTTTTTCTACACCGTTCGGAAAGTGGGGAACGCGATGACGGGCCTGTCCCTGCCGAACACGCTGTCGTTTCCCGCGGAGTAATACACGGCCCCCCTCCCCAGGTTTAGGTCCCTCAGCAACATGGCGTCATCTATGGGCGCCGGGAGGACACGCCGCTTCCGGCAATCTTTGCACAACAACGTGTTAACAGCGTGCTTTCTGAATTTTACACTGAAGGACAGGTATATGAGGGGGTTGATGCAACTGTTGGCATAGCCGAGACAGATGCTGACGAAGTAGGACACCAGGAAAGCGTAGGAAGGGCCCGAGCTCATCTGCATATTCACCAGCGCAATGACGTAATACGGCAGCCAACACACCAAGAAAACAATGACCACCACCAGAACCATCTTAGCCACTTTCTTTGTTTTCTTCTCGGCGTTTGAGGCCGCCGGGTTCACCACCTGCCTGAGCTTGCGAAACACGTTCGCGTAGCAAAACGTGATGATGCAAACGGGGATGGCAAAGGCCAGGATAAACTGGTAGATTGTGAACCAATAGATGTCGGTAGCGTCTGGGAAACTGATCTCGCAAACGCGCAGCCCGTTTGGGTAGGTGTTCTGTCTAGCGAAGGCAATGACAGGAGAGATAGAGGCAAGGGAGGCAACCCAAACCGCAACGTTGGTGACGATGGCCACCTTTCTCGTGCGGAAGGACATGGAGCGAAAGGGGTGGCTGATGGCAAGGTAGCGGTCAATGCTCATGGTGGTGAGGATGTAAACGCTAGCGAACTGGTTGTTACTGTCTAAGGTGTGGACGATCTTGCACATGGCCGAGCCGAACTGCCACTCGTCGGAGATGAACTGCTGGGCGAAGAACGGCATCCCGATGAGGAAGAGCTCGTCAGCCAGGGCGAGGTTGAAGATGAAGATGTCTGAGGGCGTGCGGAGCTTGGTGTGCCTGATCATCACGTACATCACCTGCAAATGGCCACGAAAAAATAATAAAACAGGGCGTGAATTCATGAAACACATATGAAAAATTGCACTATTAAGTAACGTAATAAGTGGGGTCGTGTGGCGCAGCGGCAGCGTTCTCGACTCGGAACCAGAGGCCCCGGGTTCGAGTCCTGACATGCCACCGATCTTGTGCCCTTGGGAAAGGCACTTTACACGACTTTCCTCACTTCGCTCAGGTGTAAATGAGTATTGTACTGTCCCTGTGTTGGTGTCGGCATTAATATAAGTTGACAAAACTTGAGTGTGTCGTCACCACGTCTTGTGATTACATGTTTCGGAATAAAAAAAAAGTAACGTAGATTTTTAACTGTATACAGAAATTATTAAGCTGTATACAAAAACCAACACGGGATAGAAATTTCTACAACAGAAAACATAATTATATATAAATAAATGAGGACAAACGATACACATGTAACGACACATGACACATGTAACGATATATGTGACAAAAGCATATATTAAATATAAACATTTGTTAGAAAGTATTGTTTTATAGTATATTGTTTTCTAAAATTCTACATTCTTTAGCAAAAAAATACCGTCTACTCACCACAGAATTACCCAGAATCCCAATCACAAAGATGACGTAGAAGACGATCGGCATGACTACTGCGACTGCGCCGAGGAAACCGCTTTCGTCCGGCCGCCATTTTGAAAGTGTGACGTTCGTCTCATCAGAGTCATTCCACATGGACCAGGGCGTCACTTCTATGGCGGGTTCAGTGTCCATCCTATAATAGATAAAAACAACAAAACATTTAGATATGATCTGAACCTGACATAAAATGATTCAATGGGCCCTTGGGAAAATGAACTTTAAGCATCTACTTACTCAATCGACTCAGGTCGGTAGAAATGAGTGCATTGCTTGGCTTAGGGACGTCCTCTCGCATAAGATGTAGAGCCGAAGGTCCCGTGTTTCAGGAAAACTACAGCTTAAGCACGGTAAAGAGCTCACCGCACTTACTGAAAAGAGCAGGGTTAACCGGTTCTTCTCCTGGTGAGTTGCTCAAACCTTACAGTCTCGTATCTGGACTGACATCTTGAAAAGGTGACAATCGCTAGCTTGTTAAGGCAACCTTTCCACAAATTTGGCAAATTCAATGAAAAATTAGGATTAAAAAATCAACCGTAGGCGAATATTCTGCGTCACCATATTCGTATCATGTTGCTATGTCTACCTGTTACTATGGCTACCAGCTTCCAGCCAGTGGGTGTGCTCAATGTTATTATGTCCATGATGACGCACGTGAACCATCTGACAGTGACAGCAGAGGACACAAACGAAGAAAGACGAAACTAAACCAAAATACCGAGAGGCTCTCAACCACTCGGGAAAGAAACCCAGTGCTGAGATGAAGCTTTCTTTCACTTGTGTGTGGGTGTAATATACGTCAAAAACACCTGGTGATCAATTGATAGTTCGGACAAAACAGTCTTAGCCTATGTGCCATCCATTTTGTAACGGGCCTCCATGCACTTACTACACCTAAAAATGAGTTTAAACATGGAGGACTCCCAGGCTAAAACAGTCTGGTCAGGCCGTGTTCAAGATTCTTACTTCGTCGGGGGTCAATTCCATAAAACATTCCGAAATTGTGGACCTAGGGCGTTTGTACATGTGTTCTTAGAACTTAAGAACCTAGCATTGAGTGTTCTTAGAACTTAAGAACCTAGAATTGATTTCTACAATCATATAAGTTTCCTTCCATTGGCCCTCCTACGTCACCATGTACGTGTAACGCCCGTAGCTATGGCAACCCGTTGCTATGGCTACCAGCCTTCAGCCACGGAGTGAGTGCAATGTAATTATGTCCATGTCCATGATGACGCACGTGTGCCATCTGACACTGACAACGGGCGACAAGAAGTGAAGAAGAAGGAAAAAAAAACGAAAGGCCCTCGGAAGAAGCCGACCTCCGGGTAACTTATTTTTTAACTTGTGCGTGGGTGTAATATACGTCAGAGAATTACCTGATAATGAGACCTTAATGCAGTAGAAAATGAAATAAACTTCCTTGCCTTCGCCATGTTTTTTGTTTGGCCATGGTGGATTGGCTGTTGTGTGGGTCTGTATGTCTGTTAACACCATAACTCCAGAGGTTGTGGATGGATCTTCATGATATTTGGTAGATGAGTAGCCGATGTGAAAACAAAGGTCAAGTTCAAAAATGGTTTACCTGTACCTGCCTTATTCCTACGTTGCTGCAGTGGTTTGTGTTTGTTTGTATTTTGTATGTGTGCAACATAACTCGACAAGATCACCAACGTTTCTACGTGAGACTATTCATTATCCACTGCTGCCAAAGCAGACGTCTAGCAAACGTAGTAGTGCTACAAGTTTTTTGAGACAGTATTTGTACGCGCACATGCAATTAGCCCCCGGGTATATTTTGTAAACAAAGAAATAACTATTAAAAAGAGTAACCAGCTTGTCCTAAAGGGTTCCAATAGAAACATGCATACATTTTATACAACGTAAATGAAAATCATGAAATATTGCACGCATAATATAAACATGCAGACAAACTGATAGTTACAATGTTATCAAACATCATTAGACATGTATTTTTGCGTTCAAAGAAGATTCGACAATAACCTGGCAAGGATTGATATTCGGTACACGAATTATTTCTGCTACTCTCAGACTCCACTTGTATACACGTTAAAAGCTTTTCCTTCAGGTAGACTTGGAATAGAGTTGGAGATAGTTCTTGACTTGAATCCAAAACAGGGGGAATGTAGACCGGTAAAAAGTGGAGTTTTATGTTGACTTGTACTAAAATATACTGTAGAATATACGGAATGGAATTACCACTCTGTCACTTTGTTACCACCTCTGTCTGTCCGTCTGTCTTTCTTCCATCCTTACCGTGACGTCACTGGCAACATTTAGTTACATCAACTGGCTGCATAAATCAAGGGCTAGAAGGACGATTTGCAAGTTTTGATGTTCCCTAACATCAGAAGAGCGATAATTTTGTCCAAACGTCTTTGTTCATTGAATAATGCCTAAAATGATTGTAAAACATACCTATCCCATGCTAGTCACCCACTCTTGTATTAGTTAGGCTAGCCTTAAGAAAGTGTAGTAGATACCGTATTTTGTACCCTGTAAACTTCTTGTGCAATAAAGTTATTTCATTTCATCCTTATGAAATACATGATTTAACTTTATAAATAGCATGCAGTAGGCATCCTTCCGTCTCAAACAGCAGATATGTGCATAATTATATCGTCTTACCTTACTCTTTGCAGAATTTTGACATACGACACACGCTATCTTGCAGCTTTAGCTCGTGTCTATTCACGCTGGTCTATTAGTGAATCCAGGATTCAGGATTTCTTCCTGAGTGAACCAATGAGCCACGTCAGCAGGAATTATACTCCTGATGTTGTCGCTCGTCTAAAAGACACAAAGGCTCTTTGATCAGGTTACGCAGAGAAAATTTCTCATCAATGTAGATCTAATGAGTAACCTGGGGGAAAACATGTTGAAAAACGTGTTCTGTGAATAATATATACCGCGGAAGGCCGGTAGCTTTCCATATGTTCGTCTCAGATTCATCAAACAAAATGCCGAAACCTCCAAAAAGGCTATTCACTTTGAGATACCTGACGCGTCTACAGTATGTGTTGTTATAAAAATTCAACATGAAAATGCAATTTTACCACTTTATTTTGCCGCTTTATTTTGTTTTGAATTCTTCGCCCTTCTTTCCACCCCTACTTTAAGTCTATCGTGAGGGAAGGCTTTCAACGTGTGCACAAGTGGGGATTTGAAACGTCTTACGCTTGAAGATTTGTTTTCTCTACCGACTGTTTGATAGGCGCCCTGTGGTGTATGATTACGTCCGACGACGACAAAGAGAAAGCACATTGCCCTGCAGAGCAGCTGACGAAACGGAGATCGAGAAAAAAGTTTGTACATAAGAAAACAATGTTAAACTTTGCAACCCGACGAAACTATTGAGGGAAGGAAAGCTCTTTACCTCTGGTAAAAGATACGTATCAGTTTCATTTTGTACATAAAAGTTAGTTCAAAAGAGAAGTGTATTTTTGCCACAACAGAAACAAGATTCATTGTTTTTTTCCAGCTAATTACGACTAAAAGCAGTATCTATATTTTTCACATAGAGATGTGAACTCAAATATTCGGTTCAGAGCGTTCGGCTCGGAACCAAGAGTTCCTGAGTTCGAATCCTTCAATGCCACCGATCTTGTGCCCTTGGGAAAGGCACTTTACGCGACTTTCCTCACGTTGCTCAGTTGAAAATGCCGTCACCATACTTTGTGATAAATGTTGGAATGGAAAATGAAACTCAAATCACAGGGACATCAGGATTGCTTTAGTTCGCATTGGTCTAGAAACTAGTTATTACGTGAGGCTTCGCAGGTCTCTAATGTGTTTCTGGGAAAGTATCCAGATGAACTGGTCACATACTAGTGAATAACGCTGGAGATAGATAATGGACGTATAGGACATCTTCGCACAGACCGTTTTACGGTATCTGTATCTGTCTAGCCGTTATAACCACCCCTCAGCGTAACACACTAGCTTAAAAACATGTTGGAAACCATTAGGAAAGGCAGGTAATATAGAAATAGGTGCACGTGATTTTGCTAAGTCATGCAATAGACGTAGTCGCCACCAGACTCCTCTGCAGGCTGAAGAAATAGTAGAAATCGGCCTAAAAGGGAATATAACTGGCTACGAGAGTCCATAGAGGGTCCAACTAAAATGGTAAAGAGGACCCTCTATGGCAGGACAGTTACCTTCCTTTTAAGGCCGATTTCTACTATTTATTTAGCCTGTAAATGAGTCTGGTGGAGACTATAACACACGTCGGCAAAGCATGAAAGTTACCCATCTATTAAACTACATGGCAATGAGCCATTTTCACCACATCCCAGTGCTTTTCTATCTCGCTTATCACACTGCAGAAAAAGTATGATGTACCAATTACCATGGTTATGGCTGCTTTCAGGCGATAAACGGCGACAGTATAGTTAAATCCCGTCTTTTGGTAAATCTCACTTTACACTTTATTACGTACTCATACCAGTTTTATCACCAAAAAATCTGACGGAACTCATCATGAAATATGGCGGGGACATAAACAGCTTTCGATATGAAGTGTTTTCACAAAATGGATTTCACGAACTACTATTCAGGCTACCGCACTGGTGTCACTTATGAAAACTACACTTAAAGTCACCACGCGACATGTTCTTATATTTTGTTGTATTTTCTTGCGCATGTTGGCCATCGCAGGAAGCTAGGGAAGCTAAATTTCTGTTTCGAAACCAAATCATGTCGCGTGTACAGATGTTATCCATAAAATTTACCTGCTGTGGCCGACAAAAACAACTTACAATCCAATTACGGTATAATAACCCTTTGACAGACGAGTTCCTTTTATGTAGCGAGTCAATGAAGTACAGACGAGAGGCAAATTTAGAAGTAAGCCTTATGCGCATATGCTTAATGTCAGGACCTTGCGTTTTTGAAATAGACTAAGCCAAAACTCGCCGTTTTCTAGATCTTCTATATCTTGTGCTTAGATATTGACGTACTGGAAAGCTTATTTTGAAAGTTCAACTGTGTTGGTAGACGTCATTTTGAAACAAGTT